GGGACTGGGAGTCCTGAGAAGAATAACCCATCCACAGCTTTGGAGTGAGCATCAGCTGACTCTCCCCTGTTGTCTCACCCAACCTTCCCTCAGACGGGGTGGGGTCAGGGTGTGTCCTTCTCAAAACTTCCACCAGGGTTGCTGCTCCTGCTCCTTCCTCCTTCACCTTTTCACCTCCTTAGGAAAGGAAAGTGAAGAGCAGGGGAGACAAATATCAAAATGAGTTAATCTGGCCAGAGTAGAAAGGAACTCAGAGGCCCATGAACGAAAGTGAGGAAGTAGAACAGGAAGGAGGCGGGAGGGGATCCTCCAGGTCAACTCTCTCCCTGCTAAGGACACTCAGGAATAGGAACGAGTCAGGGACATCTCCCTTGGTCTGCTTCCCTCACTCTTCAACTGCCTCAGGGGTGGCTCTAGAATCCAAGATACCCAAGTTGCTTTCCTTCTACGAAGAAAGACACGTCACAGGGAAGAGGAGGAGGTGAAGCTGCCCTTCTTTAAGTCAACCTTCTTAGGTTCTTCCTGGTCCTAAATAAGAGCATAATGGGGACAGGCAGCCCTCAACACAGAAAAGAGATCCCCCACGCACCCACCACTTGTGCGTGGATACAGGCATCTTAGCAATTTCCTACTTCATTTCATCTCCTCTCCTGGATGTAACGTGTACACAAGTAACACAACTTGCTCACATGTATGCTCAGTAACCAGATAGGACAGTTATGATTATGCATGCATGTAAATTTATTAATGTGGCATCTGTTCTGGATTAATACTCTAAAATGCTTATCTATGGCCGATCTTCAGGGGTTTGCTTAGTTGCATGGGTGGCGGCTCATGCCTTGAAGTTAAAAGGCATATCCCTTGCATGCATGTGTGTAACAACTATCTCCTTGCTCAGGTTGTTTTCCGTGATACTTAGCGTGTGCTGAGCACCTGTATTGTTGTATTCTGTTTGGGACAGATGGTCCAGCATGAAGAAGACCTAAATCTTGTCTTGCACTTTTGTAGAAGACAACAAGATACCCAAAAAGGAAACAAAGTTGAAGGACAAAGCATTATCCAAGATAGTGCTATTAACATATGTCCATATCTTGTTCATGAGTGATTATGACCCTTTTGTTCTCATAAATGTCCATCTTTAAGTGAGAAATTATGTAGTTACTCTGTTAGATGAGCGTGCGCGCACACACACGCGCACCTCACATATACATGTGCATGCACAGATATTACCATCAGTCAAACACTTAAGTTCTCATTAAAGAAGTGCCTTTCAAAGCAATTCTGGGCAGGGAATAAAGCTTATTGTGGAAAGGAAAGGAGTGAATAGACTGAAATCTTTCCTCATATGTCAGATGCAATGCCTGCAGTGGGGAAGAGCAAGCCAGCTAGCCTTTATGAACTACATCCTATGAGTTAGCCAAAGATAGCAAGTAGTTTTCTGTAATGTGTTGTCCCCAGCAAGTGGCAATGCCCATGGAAGCAACCTGTGGAAGATGGCAGGCCTTCGTCCATACTCCATTGCACAGAGCACCACAGTGGACCCACACGATGGGCAGTGCTGCAGGACAGAACACCGGATATTCTGCTGGCAATTTAAGCCATGGCTTCTGGGTGTGCTTTCTGGATGAAATTTCAAAACTTCAGACTTATTTAATAAACCTTGTCATTGTCATTTGGTTTGGTCCTCCATCTTCCTATTTCCCCATTATTCTTTTTGCCTCTTATTCATGGAGACAATTATCTCACATTGGAGAAACTTTTTTTAAAAAAAATTTATATTGCCCTGTAAATATTTAAATCTATAGAATATTCCTTGAATATACATAGGATTCCTCTCATATATTATTCAAGGTTCACTGGGGGTGCTAGTGAAAGAAAAACATATTAAGGTAGTACAAGCCTTCTAAGGTATTTGGCTCACTCACCAAAATGAGAAGACCAAGGATACCTTCAGGCCTGGCTGAATCCAGGAGCAAATATTATCCAAACTCTCTCTCAGATTTACCTTTCACTCTTTGTGAGCCACATATATTCTCTTGTTTTGCAAATATTCTTCCCCAAAGGGCCTAGAAAAGATGGTTGTCAGCAGTTCCCAAATGTGAATGAGTATGTGTGTGTGTGTGTGTGTGTGTGTGTGTGTATGTTCACACATTAAATGGGGAAAGGAATGTTATACATGCCAAATAACATATCATATTTCATCCATTCTAAGACTCTTTCCTTCCATCTGTTTTTCTTCTTCATTTCTTTCTTATTCCCTTACATTTTTTCAGTATTTAATCTCTGAAATCAGAAGGGATCTTAAACTTGCTGCTGCCAGGTAACAGTTGAGACATAGTTGTCTTTACCTGAACATGTGTATAAAAACCTGTTGAATGGCTTGGGGAAAAAGTCCTGGAGATGTAAAACCCTTTTCAGACATATTGCATCATTAATATTCTTTTAAAAAAATGTTTAGTTGTAGATGGACACCATACCTTTATTTTCTTTATTTATGTGGTGCTGAGGATTGAGCCCAGCACCCCCACGCATGTGAGGCAAGTGCTCTACCACTGAGCCACAACCCCAGCCCATATCATTAATATTTTTGATGGCACAGAGAACATTAGGTAGAAAAACATATACAGTAATGACTGTCAGTCCAAAACGGTAGAGAGAAGTTGAGCCCTTTATGTAAAGAAGTGTTCAAGGTACCATTAGTTTTAGTTTTGCTTACATTTTCTTCTTATGACATACACAGGTAAGATATTATAGACATTGGTATCTATAGAAGTCCAAAAACATTTCCTAATGAGGCATCTTAGAGCAAATGAAATAATCGATATCTACAAACCCACATCCATTTTCCTGTGGGTTACACAGAAGTTCCAATTCTGAGCTGATAGAAGTATTACATTATGGCATTATAATATATTTGTGATCTTCATTTCATCTCTATGCATGAGGTCGTGGGTAGGGATTCAGCAGAGCTTCCTCAGGGTGGTCGAATGGAGAGAGCCCTAGCCTAGGAGGAATGAGTTCAGATTCTAATTCCAAGGCTCCCTCCAATCAGCAACCGACCAATGTCAACTCAACTGGCGGGGCTTCCTCAGCCTTATCTGCAACAGAAATAGAATAATCACTAAGATCTCTTCTGATTACAACATTTTAAATCTGGCAATGTAATACACTCCATAAACCTACTGTTCTTTTGTAAAGAACTCCATTGATAATTTTAGAATTTGTCAAGCATGACAACTGTCACAGAAAATTTAATAATTATTTAATAATTTAATAAGAATTATTAAATAGTGTGAGAATAGTGTGTTACAGCCAATCACACCCATCACTGTTTCTAAATCCATCAAAATAGCACAAAATATCAGGTTAAGTATTAATAAAATTTCCCCATAAATCTATTCATGCAAAATACAATGAAATAGCCTGGGAAGGTGGTCATAAGTTTAGCACTATGAGATCCCTCAGGGACACCAGCTCCTGGCTCTAGGTTATGCGCTCTGCAAGTAGATGGTCTATACGTAGAAAAGGTGCAGTCAATTTTTAAATTTCTTCCCAAAGAAGCAAAAGGAGGAAGTGCTGACCAGGTAAGCAGGACCACAGTTCTCTCATAGCTAAGAATCAAGAATATAAAGAAAAAATAGCATGGTGTTCAAAATTACACGAGAACCGAACCAGAAATTTCTGGTAGAGCACGATGCATGCTAAATATTTAAATTTTTTAAAAGCCTACCAACCCCAAATAATAATGAGAAAATATGTGATAGAGCTATGCTAATCTATCAACAATAAGGGCATTCTAACCAGGCGGGATGCCAAGTGTTGTATGGAATATCAAGGAAACCATCCTTTATCTTGATCCATGATCCACAAAGAAACCCCATTGTCTCAGCACTTCTGACTTCTGCAGAAATAAATAGTAAGAAGGAAGAAAAGGGAGGAAAACCCAAAAACCTTCACTAAGCCCCGGAAATCCAGTATTTGCTGAACTCATAGCAGAGCCTCCTTGGCAGTTTCTTTTCTATTAGTGAGGAAAGATTCCAGAGTCACAAAAGGAATCAGTGCCTAGAATTAGAGTAAGTTTCAAATTTCTGAGTCATTCATTAAATGCAAAATTGAGCTCTCTTTTCAACAATGCCTATACCAAGACTTCATTAGAGCAAGATCATTTTGCATAGACATAAGGGAAATTTTTCCAATATGATAATGTAAGGTAGCTGAGCATGCCAAGGAGGGAAGAGTGTGCAGCATCCATCTTTCCAAAGACAGATGCCAGCTAAGTGCTCCTTTTAAACCATCACTGCAGATGTGGTACCCTTTAAACATTTTTAGGCATGGAAATGTTTTATTCCTATCATCCTTCTGTCTCTTTCTTGTTTCCTTCAATGAACTTATGCTTCCTTTTATTATTCTGTCATATTCTTTCTCTCTCTCTCTCTCTCTCCTTCTTTCCCGGGTGCTGGAGATGGAACCCAGAGTCTTGCACATGCGTGGCTAATGCTCTACCACTGAACTACACCCCCAGCCCTCTGTCATTATGTTGTGTTTCAAAGTTCTTGATTTTGATTATTTCTAAATGCTGTGCTCCAAACTGAATGTAAAAAATGTTCTAGCCTAGAAAGAATAGAACAGTTTCTGTTAACTCCCTTTTTCTCTATACTATAGTATTAATGCAAGCAAAGCTTTTTATTTTTTGTGAACTTTTGTCTCATTTTGATGGCAGTCCAAATACTCATTCATGGGGTATTATGTCACAATATTCCCATTGCTTACTTGTTATTTTTTGGACCCAAAGTGTAGGACTTTACATTTTTCTTGTTAAATTCCTTTCTGTTAGATTTGATCTATTAAGATATTTTTAGATTCTGACTCTGCCACATAGCAAATAGCTTTTCCAATGAGCTTTAGGGCATTTGCAAATGTGATTAGCAGACTCACTACATCATCATCCAAGTTATTGATAAAAATGATCGGAGCAGACAAGAAAGCCTGGCAGCCCTGGAGTCTAAACAGCCCTTCAGGGTGACATTCTTAAGTGAGCTCCTATACCAGTCAAGATCCAACCAGGAAAACAGACACCACCTTGAGCATTTAAAACAGAGAACCTAACACAGGGAAGTTGTTTCACACAGAGTGAAAGATCTAAGAAGCAGACCAGGGAATAATAAGGCAACTAGAAAGCAGTGACATCAGAAAGCCACTGTCATTCAAGGGCTGGAGTAACCAAGGTGCCATGATTGTTAATAGAATCTACGAGAAGGTGGAGCCATGAAGAGATGCGGCCACTGCAGAACCTGCACCCAGGACCCGTCAGCCTTCACCCTGTCCAGCCTAACCCAGCTGGGAGCCAGCTGGTGCAGGAGCTTGGAAATGGATCAACTCCTGTGACTTACAGCCGAGGAGCCTAAGACGGGAGTGGACTTGAATTCATTCACAGGTACCCAGGACCAGTGATTTAATTGGTTACTCACAGGTCATTCTTGAATGATTTCTCCATGTTCATCACAAGAAAATAGGAAAAGCATTTGTTAAGAGTCCTGGTAAAGTTCAGATGGATAATATCGACCCTGTTTGACTTATACTAGTAGACCGATATTTATGAGGAAATAAGACTATTGTGCCATAACAAATTCTTAGTGATTCTTTAGTTTCTCATCTGAGTCTTCCCAAATCACTGGACTATGTGCACAGGCTAGCAAAGGACAGCTTCGGGGCCAAATCCAGCCCTCGGATTTGAGTCCTTGTATCATCTCTATAGTTTATTTAACCTGTCATACACATTCACTCAGACATTGACTATGGCAACTACATCATCATCCAAGTTATTGATAAAAATGATCGGAGCAGACAAGAAAGGCAGAGTTGAACTGCTGAGACAGAGGTTATGCAGCCTGTGAAGCCTCAAATACTTATTACTTCATCCTTTATAGAATAAAACAAAACAAAAAGCCAAAATCCAACTCCAATCTATAATTTGCAGACTTCAACTACTTCTACCCTCAAAACAGCAGACATTCCCCATCTCTGCTCTTTTTGCTCCTGTCTCATTTTCTACTTTATCTCCTACAAGGTCAGTAGTTGTTATGGACTAAATATATGCTCATGTGTCCCAAAAATTCAAATGCTGAAATCCTAACTCCTAATAGGATGGTACTAGGAACTGGGTCTCTGGGAAGTAATTAGGTCTTGGGGGTAGGGCCCTCGTGAATGGGATTAGTGTAATTATAGGAAGAGATACAAGAGAGCTTGTTTCCTCTGTCTCTGCCCTCCACCATGAAAGGATACAGCAAGATGGCTATCTTTTTAAAATTTATTTTATTTTATTTTATTGTAGTTGTAGATGGACAGCATGCCTTTATTTTACTTGTATATTTTTTTATGTGGTGCTGAGGATCGAACCCAGTGCCTCCCACATGAAAGGCAAGCACTCTGCTACTGAGCTACAGCTACAGCCCCAGCCCAAGAAGACTATCTTCCACAGGCCAGGAAGAGGGTTTTTGCCAATAACCTGACTATACAGGCAGCCTGATCTTGGACTTTCAGTCTCCAGAACTGTGAGAAAGAAATGATTATTGCTTATAGTAAATGATTATTGTCTATGGTAATTGGTTATAGAAGCCTAAACTGACTAACATAGTGATTCATCAATGTCATTTGTTCTGTCTCCCTGGGGGAATTTCAGGTGTCTCCACAAGGAGAAATTTTCCTTGTCTCCACAAGGAGCTCTAAGGTCCTACACAAATAGGTCCCTCATTACTTCTTAACTGCATGACTCTCTGACACCTTTCACTCCTGTTGAACCTCATCTCCTTTGCACGGCCTTGCTGAGGTATGTGCAGTTATGCTACCAAAAGCTTGATCCTTGTCCCTGATGCCAATTTAATAAGAGGACATGGTTTTGAGAAAAAAAGGAAAAAGAAGGTTAATTGCTTTTCTAGCAAAGGGAAAGTGCTTCCCTCCCATGATTCTTCTTTAGTAACATTACTATAATTTAAGCCTACCTGGATGTAACAAACATATCTAAGATTCTGCTCATCAGGGAGAACAGAGGGCTTTTAGAAGCTTGTCAAGGCTGCATTCCAGGTGTGCTCTGATGGTGTGTTAAAATCACTTGTTAATTTGGGAGATAGTCACTTCCTAGATCTTCTGGTGACATCTTCTTCCTGTGGTGGGTGTGTGCTCAGGGACAGATAACTCGGCCCAGGATGGAGAAAAGTTAATCTCATTTTCCACCCTACGTTAGGGAGGAGAAGAGGGAGAAGAGGAAAAGAAAAACATGGCCCTCTTTTAAAACGTGCAGTGAGAGCTATATTCAAAAGTTGAAGGGGAGCAGTCTGGCTCTGTTTCCTGCTGACTTGTAGGACACACTGGCACATCTCATTTCAAGGTCTGTGCACTTGCTTGCTCCCTTTGCCTGGTCAGCTTTACACAGAGGGCTTCTGTACTGCAGGACACTTCTCAGTGAGCCTTCTGACTTTCCCAATCAAAGCTTCAATCATCACCCTTCTCTGCAGAATTCCCTTATTCCTTTTCTTTTCTCCAAAGCACTGACATTATTATTTGTTTCTTGTCTGTTCTTTCTCCAACCACTAGTTGAATGTAAACCTGGAGAGGGCAGAATTTATGTATTATCTGTTCACTGATGGATCCCCAGCAACTAAAATCTTATCAGACAATCACTAGGCATGCAATAAGTATTTTGTGAATGAATGAAGTTCAAGGCAGTAGCTGACTCCTCTAGAGCAAGTGACTACTCTCTTGTCATCTCTTGACCCATCTCAAGTCCTCTCTCCTGTCATTTCTGTGAGCAAACAGTCATCCCTGCAGCTGGACCAGTAAAGAAAGAACTTCAGTATGCCAAGGAGGGGGCGGGGGAATCGAATCATTAAGGTACTGTTAGAGTTTGTGTACAAGCTAATCATCAAGGAGTTTACAGTCAGCACTTTAAAAATCAACATTAAAGAAACTTGAAAGAACCGTGTCTGGGGATTCCAGGTAATGAAAAATCTATCTTTTAATTGCTGTTCCCAAGACTTCCCTCCCACGGTTCTTCTTTAGTAACATTACTATAATTTAAGCCTACATGGATGTAACAAACTTATCTGAAGAGCTCAGAGAACTTCATTAAGATTCTTTAAGCTATAGGAAGCATTCTATGTCATAAATAATATTTATCCAGTACCTCCTCCTTTTCTCAATCCACAAAGACAAAAAAAAAAAAAAAACCCTCAAACTCTTCACACACAAGGGAGTCTTGTCATGGGTGGGATGAAATGTAGCTGGTCTAAATAAATTTGACGGAACAAACTATTTCTATCTCACTAAAGACCAATGTCATTGACGTTAAGACTGTTTTATTGATCAAGTTGACTTTTTAATAGTTTGAAATATGCAAATGACACAATATTGCTTTCCTCTTGGTGAAGTTTTCACTGAACATTTTAAATATTAGCCTTTGGCACAGCTGAAATTTTCCCACATCCTTACAGTCCGCATTTTGTTTTAAACAAATCCTTCTAGAATATCACTCCCTGTTCTAACACTTGCCTGTCCTTGCTGTTGCTAAATTTGTGAATCTTTTTTCATTTTTTTTTACTTTTAAAATTAACTATTTTTATTTTATTAATAGAAATGTTTTACAAGTGTTCAGATAGCTAAGGCATTGTTTAAGATCTACAAGATAATGTCATTATTCTAAAATTAACCATGAATTCATCCTGCCTAAGTGTCTTTGTGGATTCCCTGGAAGGATGAAAAGCTCACAAAAGTGAACTATGAAATGACCTCAGGTATTTCCAACCGTTCTTTAGTTTCTAACAACAGTGCTTAGGCTTCTTTTAAACTATTTTTATAGTTAATAAAAAATATAATTAAAAGAAAGGTTTAACCGTACCTGCAGTACTAACCTAAAACTGTTTCGAATGACCTCCATTTTATTATTTCACAACAGCCTTTTGTTCTGGGTTTTTCCATCTGTTTGCTAAGCATTTTTTCAATGAAAGTCTCAATTAGAAGAAGAAAGGGAGGGGGGGGACAATCATTTAATTCAAAAATTAATTTGGAGATCAGGCCACTGACTTAGACTCATGGCAGCAACTTAAGGCTTTTCAGCCTTGGCCACATGATCCAGAGGAACTGAGCAACAACTGTCTAGCTGCTTTAATCCTCCTTAATTTGAGTGCAAAGAAACTCACATGTGTTTCTAAGAACATTTTTGGAGTACAAGAAGTCCATTTCTGGAGGATGCCGTCTAATGCCCTTGTTTTGCTGATCTCGCTGTATTCTAAATTAATTTTTAAATCACACATGAGCAGAGAGTCGGGTGGGGTGAGGAGGGGGATTGCTAAAAGCCAGGCTGTGTCCAGTGTTGTTCAAACAATGGCTGAAGGAGTCTTGGGAGACATTCTTCATCCCAGGACACAGGAGTTTCCTTTACCTTGGGATAAAGCTGGGCCCACTCATGAGAAAGCAATGCAGAGTGCTCACCCTAACCCTAAAGAAGCTGGTGGAAGGTGCTGGGGAGCAGAGCTGGGCAGGCTCCTGCCTCTCTTCCTTTGTTTGGTGCCCTCTAAGTTCCTGGTCTTTAGAGGAACTTAATTAAAACTCCATGGACAATTTTCCAGGAAGTAGATTAAGCCCTTATATAATTGTGTCCTGTTAGGAGGCTTTGAGCCTCCCTGACTGTTTTACTTGGGAAGGGAAAAGCCTAAACACCAAAGTACTGGTGGGTCCCTGTGCATTTTAAGTCTGATGAGTTAATAGGTAACTGAGTTCTCAGAGCTCTTTATCTGAGGTTTACTCACCAGGATGGAACTTCAGAAACCAGCTGGGCTGGACTTCCTTGGGCAAAATTGCAGAATAGAAAGTATTTGTCTCCTCTACTCACTGCTTCTGCTTTCTTTGACCTTCTCCCCACCTTGATTCATCTCTAGCCCTTCAAAAAACCTCTGTCCCTAAAAACAATCCTTCCTTGTGGGGCTGAGTGTATAAAACTTAGTGGTAGAGTGCTAGTTTGGCATGCTCTAGCCTCTGGGTTTCATCCCTAGCACCAAAAAAGAAAAGAAAAAAAAATTTTTCTAGCCCTTCACTTACTCACTGCCAAACTTACTCTCAAGAGTTGAAACCATTTAAATGGATATTTATTAAATAGCTAATATTTTCTGATCTCTTGCTTTCTGCCAGCCACTCACTCGTCTAAACACTTTCCATGGATTTATTTAATTCTCATAACAACTTTATGAAACAGGTGTTTTCTTATCCACAGTCTATAGACTAGATGAGGATATGCCAAAATTCATGCAGCGATTCCAATCCGGAGGTGTATGGCAAAACTTGCTGTCTTGGTCATGCAGCTTGACAATTGTCATGCCCCACTGTGTGGGGTACCAGGTACTGCTACACTTCATGGACTGCTTCTCCCACGGTGGTCGTCTTTGA